GGTGGGGAGGTGCTTCGGCCGGCTCGGTGGGGTGGTGCTTCGGCCGGCTTGGTGGGGAGGTGTTTACTATTCTGATTTCCATAAACACTTAGAAAGACAGAAGACGCTGAGAGCTAAAACAGTGATACAGAAAGCACCAGCCATACACTAACAAAGAAAACATAGAGTCAGAGACAGAAAGAGCGAAGTGAGATTCTTCATTGGGGTTGCTTCCTGACTTTTTTCGCGGGCGGAGCTGCGCGGGCTGCACCTGCTTGTGTATGTTAATTAACTTAACCGATGATCAGACGTGTTGTAATCAACTATTCCAAACCAAATATTCAACTTAACCATGTCATATTTGTGGTTCAATTTCGTTGCGACTTTGGTGTCCTGTGGAGTGCCCCGAATCTTGGATCGTTCCATCCTCAGTGTGCTGAATTTAAGAATTCGGAGGACCAAGATTCATAGGGGATCCTAGCAAATAGCCCAGTGGTAAGAGAGAACTCTACAGCTCCCCCTGGTTCCGAAGAATCTACGTCTAGACTCTAGACCTACAGTGAGCATGGGATGGAGAACGACTGTTTGTTAACGTTTCATGTTATGGTGTCTGTACGAGAAACAAATTGTCGTCAATATAGAAAAATATATTTTGCTTAAACCCAAGGGTAAATCATGTGCAACTCCACCGGGCCGTAAATAACTAGCATGCATTCTTGTTCCCGAAAGGAAAGGGGTTACGCAACCAGTCCATCTGCCCCTGTGCTGTAGATAGGATGTGTCAGTGAACACCGGGGTGAAATCTACAGTGAACAGGCTCGGTAGAGGCTCGGTGGGAAAAGGGCTGGTGGGCCCAAAAGAATTGTTGAAAACGAAATCGGGAAAAAAAAATGAAAGAGAATCTAGTGCGCTGCACTTTTTACTGCAGAGCACCTGAAGACACCCGCCTCGCTGGCAGGGCACTAATCTTTAGAAAGAACAAAACAAGAAGGAAAAAAAGAAAACAAAGATAGATTTGCAATTTTGCACGCAATAGCGGTCAGATACATTACGGAAAGTACTGGTATGAGGTTGCACTCAGTGAGGGCCTTTCCTGAGAACGGCATATGAGGAAAGAAACAAACAAGGGTGAAAAAAAAGAAACAAAGATTTGGTCGTGAAAGTGGTCGGATACTTTCTGGAAATTACTAGTGTGAGTATGCCTCAGTGAGGGCCTTTCCTGAAAGACACCCTGCCTCGCTGGCAGGGCCACTAAGAAAGAAAGAAAAGAAAAAGTGAAGACATCAAAGATTTGGCAGTGATAGCGGTCAGATACATTCTGGAAAGTACTGGTATGCCCTTAGTGAGGGCCTTCCCCGACATTATTGACCTCTATTTAGTTTGTTTTTTTTTTCTCCCTTGTCTTTTTTGTGCCATTTGCTGGCACGAGGTACCGCACTTCAGTTCCAAGGTCGGCTGGTACCAGCACCTCGCACCGCCCAGGCAAACTTTAGAGTCAAAAATGACTCACTCCTAAAAGTTAGGGGACTTGCCCCACGGCGCGCCTGGTGCCATGTAGAAAAGAATTCTGTAGTGCGCGTCAGGATTGGCACTGGCACCACACGGGACAAAAAGGGAATTTTACCCAGCCCCAGGCCTGGCCTGGGGCGAGTCCCATAACTTTTAGGAGTGAGTCAATTTGGCTCACAAAAAAGAGGTTCAGATGTACTTGCGGTATGAAGGATAAAGAAAAGGACGACATGCAGTGGATTGCAGGCTCGGCGGAGAGCATGTTTTGGGGAACTTAGGGGTTGTCGATTGATGGTTTAATGCTCCTACGTCCATAGCATGGGTGGTTAATGCAAATAGATGATTTAAGATCCAGGTGTAATGACCCACCAAAAACACAGACTGAGAACACTGCTGATTTCTGGGATTTGCCGATGGAATGAATGCCTTGCTGAGATTCCCGCATTCTGCTGTGGTTTCCAAGTCTGTGTGTGTGTGCGTGCCTGCTGGTTGGCATGCCTGTCTGAGTGCTTGTCGGCTGAGTGTGTGTGTGACCCGCAAGGGTACTTGTTGGTTGAAAGGCCCCGCAGGGCCGGTACTTACCTGTGGCCGTGACTTTGAGGGTTGCAGCGGGGAAAACACTCAAGTAGCGGGGGTAGGCCCACGACACTTAGCGGGGAAAAACACTCAAGTAGCAGGTAGGCCGGTACTTAAGTAGTGGTAGGAGTGTCGGGTACTGGAGGCCGAGCAGAAGACAAAAAGTTGGCATTTTTAGAGGCCCAGTAGCGGTAGGATAGAGGTAGGCCGGTACCAGTCCAAGTAGCCTGAGTCTAGGGCCTGTCCGGACGATAGCAGAGCCTGCAATGATGTTTCCCTCCGAAAGGGAGGAGGTACCAGTTGCTGGGAGGCCGCTCGGCCTAGGAAGTCACTGCCCAAGAGGCCAGTAGGCCGCTATATCTTCCGGAGGAGCAAGCTCCTCCTCATTTGCGGTATGCAAGGATTGGCGCCATGCTGCTGAGCCAAGCGCTGGACTTGTACAGCGCTGCCTGGAGGTGAAGGGCAGCTGGGCGCTCAGCCTGGCTATGGTGAGCAGCCCAGCCTGAGGAGGAGGAAGAAGTGGGCGAAGGAGGAGAGTGTCGAGGTTCCTACCTGGCTATGGTGGACACCATCTTCATCACCTTGTTGGGCGCTGCATCTGGAAGGGCACAGTTGGGGTAGTGCCTCACCAAGGAAGCTTGAGGCAGAGTCAGGCATGGCGGTTTAGTCAGCAGCAGCATAGCTGCTTTTGGTTGTCCTTTGGACAGGAGTGCAGCGCCACAGCTGCTTTGTGTTGTCCTTTGCACAGAGAGGGGCAGAGCCCTCAGTTGCCCGCCATAGCCTAGGCTTGTGAGAGGTGGAAGAAGGGGGGAAGCCATAGCTATGGTGGACCTGTTGTTGTTGTTGTTGTTGTTGTTGTTGTTGTTGTATCAGCAGTAAGAGGGAACTTCAGATATTGATTCTGGTTCATCCACTCATTGTTATTATTATTATTGGGAAGAAGAATAAGATTGGCGAAGTTAAGGAGGAGGAGGAAGGAGGAGAGAGAAGGGGAATTTGTCATTGGTCTTGCTCGTGTACATCTTCTTCTTCTTCTTCTTCTTCTTCTTCTTCTTCTTCTTCTTCTTCTTCTTCTTCTTCTTCTTCTTCTTCTTCTTCTTTCTCTGTTCTCTGTTCTCTGTCTCTTTGCAAGTGCTTTCATTTCTTTCGCAATTGGGTGGCATTGTCTTTCATTGTGAATTTGCACTTCGAGAATGACCAGGTTCGTAACACAGGTAATCTCGCACAGTAACTATTTTGCCACTGTGACTGAGGCTTTGCTGGTTTTGACCAACAGCAGTCGGAGGGCCAAGGGTGAGCATGCGTTGGCATGCTTCCCCAAGTGCACAAGGCCGGAGGCTGCAGGGTATGCGTCCCACAAAACGACCGCTCTTCGCGCCTCATCTCTTATAAGCGCCAAGGGGCTTGCATCACAGCTCCAGGCACGACCGCAAGACGTGCTGGGCATGGAGCGCAGACGCAAAGCGTCTGCTGTTTGGATCTTTATGAATGTGCTTTTATGGCCTGCTCTGTTTCCTCTACTGTTGCCAGCTTAAGGTTAGCCATAATTTTCATCGAGTTTGCCAGTGTGCGTGCATCACAGCTCCGGGCACAAAATGTAGCAAGACGTGAAGCTTCTGCTCTGCGAGCCTATATGAATGTGCTTTCATGGCATACTTTATTTCGTCTACTGTTGCTGGTTGAAGGTTGAGCCATATGCCCCTAGTGAGAAGTTCTGTCGCACACTTTGATAACTATGTGTTACCTTATGACCGCCCTCACCGCCGCATTTGTAAGCTGACAGAATTTCCGGGCAAGTTAGGCTGGATGAAGAAGCAATAAGAAAGAAAGGCCAATTAAAATCAAGGAAAGGAGTAAACCAGTCGCCAAATACACAAATAGATGCAAAGTCCATAAATCACTCACACTTCGCTTTGTGAGGAAAATACTTCCAATGGTAGAATGATGATCTCTAAAACCATAGGTTGAGGGTGTGACTTTCAATGTTACGCTTTGTTGACAGGTAGGTAAGGTAGAAAGAATCGGATATGATCCACAAATTATTCCTCTTGGATTGCCCCAGTACGATGCACTCTGGACCTACCCAAACCCAACATCAAACAGCATCGACAAGATTTACTTATATATTGGGTTGTGATAAATCAAATAGTTTTTGGAAGGATCATTTTTTTGTGGTGAGGAGAGTCTGTCTGATGCAACTGCAATGTTCTTGTCATCGTTGAAATGCCCATCTTTCCAGGCCGATTTGTTGGATCTGAGTGTGGACGACACACCTGCAGCTCCTCAATCACAGTCGGCAGGTAATATGCTGCTTGATCTTCTGTCTGCACCTGTGCCAACTGCCTTCACATCACCAGGTGAGTAAACCACCCCCCTTCATATCCTGAGCTTCTTGGTTGTCTGCAATTGTGTGTGCTTTCTGTGCTTTAAGAGTTGTCGACGGGATTTCCTGCTTGAGTGCCAGCTGAGAAGCGGTTAACAGAGCCCTGAATTTTCAGGAGTTTTTTTCAGGGTCATAATGGCAAACGTACCATACCTTTCAAGCCAGGCTTGTCACCAGTCCATAGAGTGGACACCAAATAAACCAACAGCAAAAAAAAAAAAAAGTGAAAAAATGGAATAAAATTTAAAACTTAAAAGGGTCTTAAACCCCAAGGCAAAAGTGTGTTTTTTTGGTGCAAAATTTGCTCTGCCAGCTCATTTTTCAATGCCGATGTAATCTTTCTCTTCATGGCCTTAATGGGACATCCTCACACGGTGGTGACCCACTGACGAGATGAACGAAATGTGAAACAGCTCTCAGTCTGTCAGAGCTTCGCATATTCTAACGCTTATTCTATTATGGTGTTAGGAACATAAGATTTGTGATACCAGTATTTGCGGTTACCCCATATTCGCCTTGAGGGGGTTCTGTATGATGGTGTTATGCTTGGATATGTTTGTGAAGGTCTATGAACGTGCGGAGTATGGCGAGGGTCACTACCATCGTGGCGAGGTATCGAATGCTTCAGTGACTGTAAAGGCTATAACGGGATTGTGGCATGTTGGGGCCTCCCACACCGAGCCTGGTGGTTCAGACATCCTTTGGGCAGGCCCCCTTTACCGCGTACACCCTTGGTGTTGGCCTTCTAGGCCACGGCCATTGTGAGGCCAGTTGGAGAGTGAGTTTGCAGGCAGGCGTGAGTACTTTTGTCTGTTCAGAGTCCAGGCGTGGGTGTATTTTCTCTGTTCTCTGATTCAGTTTTACTCAGCTTGGAGTCACCACGCTGGATCTTAGCTGGTTGCCCAGGGGCTTGATCTACCTCTCTTGCACCACACTGCACATCTCGACATGCATCTGCCATTCCATCTCTCACATTAACTGCCCCCACTTTTTTTTTTCTTTTCTTTTCCTTCTCCTGCTTCCCCTCCTCCTCCTGCTGCTTCCCATGTGAATATTTTCTAGCTGAGATTTTCCTTTTTAGACTTTTTCTTCCCCTCCTCAAGTTGATCATTCAACGCTTACAAGCTGCACCCTCTTCTTGCTCCCCCCCTTCCTGCTCCCCCCCCAGTTTCCCTCCCATCCGCGACCTTCCCCCCAATGTCTTCATCATTACTATTTGCATCTTCCTTACCTTCTTCTCCCAATGCGGTCATCAGCATTACTCTTTCAGTAGATGGCCATCCCTCTTCCGAGCCAACAAATGTTTTTATGTCTCGTCTCTGTTCTCCTCCTCTTCCTCATCCCTGCACTATTACTCCTTTGACCAGGTAAGTTAGATGCATACTGCCGCTATTTGGACATATCGTGAACCAAAATGGGCAGGCCCTACCAGGTTCTTGCCAAAAACAATACCGTATTGGATTTTTTTTAATCAAATTAGGTGAATGCGTCGAAGTTAGAGCAACGGCGAACCGATTTGGAATTTCGAAGAAGCTTCTTGGACCGGCAGATTGGTATTGGATGTTTTTTCTAATCAAATTTAGGTGAAAGCGTCGAAGTTAGAGAAATGGCGAACGATTTGGAATTTCGAAGAAGCTTCTTGGACTGGTAGATTGGAATCCGCCATGTAGCCAAGCGTTTTAGATTTTTGTAGAAGCTTCTTGGACATGTAGTTCAGAATAGGACATCTTGTGAACCGATATGGACAGGTATTCTAGAAACTTGGACAGACCCATTGTGCCCTTCGTCAAAGGACCGAACGATTTAGACTGACGAGCGCATAAATTGGTGGGCCCCACACAAAATCATGCGTTGCTCACGTGTCCTGCACACATACACCTAGGTACGGCTACCCACGTGCATTCACTCTCGCATGTGCTGCGTGCATCCATCAACGAGCATTCACTTCCGCCGAGCATCGACCCACGGGCCTTGTGCGTTCACGTGCCCGTGGGTTGGATGATCTGTTTGCACAAGGCCCGTGGGTTCGATGATTGCACAAGAGAACCCACGTGCATGCACTCTCGATGATCTTTCGCCTCTGAACATCGTCAATGCAGTTGTACCTGCCTCACCTAGGTGGATGTGCCAAGGATGGATTAGAGAGGTGACACGAAACTTCGGCAAAGCTAATCTTTGTTGGTCGAAGTTCTAGGTCGACAGTTTATGGGAGCAGCAGGCCCGTGATTCAGACGCTTGTGACTAACATGCAAAATCGCTTCACTAAATTGATATCTTTGTTGGTCCCGATGGTGTGCGCAGAATCTCGAATCGGTTGACTGTTGAACTAAATGTGGTTTTGGTAATACTAATTTGTTAAATCAATCTGCCTAACTCCGTCATGCGTCCAAAGACTCCAAACTGTTAAATCATTCTGTCCAAAATGGTCATCATTTATCCCAACCTATATCCAGTATGTCCAAAATGCTCATCGTTTCTCCCAACCTAAATCTGATATGTTCAAAATGCTCATCACTTCTCCCAACCTATATCGGCTGTCCAAATTGGTTCCAACCATGTACTAAATAGGAAAACCGAACTGACCAATTTGGTTTGATGATTGTCCAATTGAATTTTTGTTTGTCCAAATCGCTTCACCTTGATCCTAACTTACCTGGTCAAAGGAGTAATATTGCTAAGGGAATTGATCTCTGATCCAGGCCGTCTTCGGTCCTACCAGCCCACGGCCTGGTTCGTCGGAAACATGTAATAAATCGGAAATCCAGGCCATCGGGTCCTACCGGATCGATGGGCTGTATCGGCGCGCGATCTTTAGATATTAATATTGTGCGTCAATCCAGGCCGTTGGCCAGGTGGCGCGGTACCTACCGGTGGGGTTTTGTGTTCGGGCAAACGGGTTCCCGTAGGCTGCCCGTGATGTAACTACTTTTTTGTGGCGGCGTGTGTACTGTTTTTGGGTGGGGACGTGCCTTTTTGGTGGCGGCATGGGCAAATTCTACGACGTGGTAAAGACCCACCCCTATGCTACTCTACTCTGTACTATAGACTTTACTTTCCTATCCTATGCTACCACGCTCGACTTCGACTTTACTCTACTCCACACTAACACACACACACACACGACATCCCGGGCCGACTGTCGGGGTTCAACCTCATGATGAGTCGGTGGAAGTCGACGAAACAGCCTGGCTTAGTAATGCTTTTTTATGGAGTTGTGTGTAGCAAACATGACAAGACACACACACACATACACAAACACACCCAGACTGAACACTACGCACTCACACATACACAAACACACCCAGACTGAACACTACGCACTCGCACATACACGAACACACCCAGACTAAACACACACTACGCTTTTTTACTTGTGGGAGGTTGGGCTCCACATCCTGAAGGTCGGACGCTGACAAGTGCATTGCGTGGAGTCTTTCAGACGACCACGTTATGATGACTGATGATGAGTTAACTCCACTTTGTTATTGATGGCTGCTGCTTTCGTTTCTTTGTTCCTTTCGAACTACGAGCTTGTGTGTGTGTGTGTGTGTGTGAGAGAGAGAGAGAGAGAGAGAGATCTACAACGCTCGACTAGGCTACTCTTCCCCACGATGTTATGATGACCCGCACGCTCCCCTGCTATGACGACCCACCCCCTTCCAGCAAATTAACTACCCCCAGGAGAGATCAGGTCTGAAAACAACTTCCACTGCTAACACTACGCAAGAAAGAGAGAGAGAGAGAGAGAGAGAGAGAGAGAGCTGTACAATGCTCGACTTTGTTACTCTCCCGTACAATGTTATGACGACCCGCACGCTCTCTTGCTATGACGACCGTCCCCCTCCAATCAAATTAACTACCCCCAGGAGAGATCAGGTCTGAAAACTTCTACTGCTAACCCTACGCAAGAGAGAGAGAGAGAGAGAGAGAGAGAGAGAGAGAGAGAGAGGCATCTGCTCGATCGATCGTCGTGGCATTCGGGAGAAGCAGCATATCTACTCTCTCTCTCTCTCATAATTCGATCGAGGTGGTATGTCTTGCTACGATGATTGATCAATCGATAAAGGTGTGAGGGGCATGCGCGCTCCAGAGAGAGAGAGAGAGAGAGAGAGAGAGAGCTATCCGCCCCCACGATCAGGTGTAGTATCAGCTCCGATCAGTTTCATGTAAGATCAGTGGTCCATCGAGACTTAAAAAAAAACAAAAAAGCACATGCACGCGTGCACGCGCGCGCGCGCGCGCGAGAGAGAGAGAGAGAGAGAGAGAGAGAAAGAAGAGAGACCAATCTAACTATGCGCCTCTCTCCCCGCCCCCCCCYCCCCMCSCCCCMCCAAAAAAAAAAAAACACGATCAAGTGTAGTATCTGCGTCGATCAGTTTGGTATCCGATCCTTCCCGCCACACAATCAAGCAAAGTATCTGCTCCGCTCAGTTTCATATCTGATCCGTGGTCCATCGAGACCTTTTTATTTTCAAAAACAAAAAAAACACGCACACGCACGCTGTCGCACTTTTTCCGGTCAGGCCTCTTAGGGCAACCAGAAAGCCAACAGGCTGTCACGCAGGATTTTGTGCAAGGAAAATGACTGATAGCGAACTTCAGAAATCAAACAACATCATACACATGAGACCAGATAGTCGTGACCTCGAACCAATTGCAGAATTGCATTACGAGTTCCACCAAATAAGAACACAGCAAAAGCTCATAATTGACAATGCTGGAATATTAAACTGATCAGAACAGATACTACAAAAAAAAAAAAAAAAAAGGACAATGCTGGAACAGTCTCATCATCATCAATGAAGAACCAATGTCGATATCCTATCTGGCGCTCGGCGCCCAGACTACAGATGGCAGATCCTATCTAGCCTAATCTACAATGCTGGCGATGACGTCAACAGCTCCCCGAAGTACGAGCAGTCTCGGCCAAAGCCGTACGCTTCAAGCACCATGTATGTCTCTCGTATCACTCAC